TAACAAAGTTTTGTGCTCCTGCTATGTACTTTTACATTGAGAATTAGTCTTTATTTTTCTCCAATTGAACCTATGTTCCTGCCAGTTCTTTTAAAAAAATGAAGGGCCTTGACAGTTCAGGACACTGAGGGATCCCATGAGTAGTAGGAGGATGTGGCAAGCTCCAGGGAGTAGGTGGGCATTGAACCTCTCCAGGAAAAGCCCAGCAGCCTAAATGACCCATCTGAGATGTAACAAACTCTAGTGTGATCCACGTCCACCCAGACATTTGAGGTTCCTGGTTTGAAAAGACGGAGCTGATTGTGGTGGACAGGGTTCTAGTGAATGATTGTTCTCAGCATTACAGGGGTATTTGGTCATGGGTTGTAAGTTCCATTGAAATGAATGCAAAGGATCCTGGAATCTCAGTCCAGCCTCCGGGTGGGGAAGGACTGCCCTGAGTTATACAATGGGATCCAAGTCTAACCAACAAGGTAAGGTACAAGGACAGGCTGCACAGCTAGCAGAGACCTGGGGAGCAGGCTATTTAAACTTGTAGGTGGATATGCCTGGGTGGGATGGACACCAGAGATCTTTTGGCAGAAGTTTTTTTATTGATACATATTTTTGCTCTTGATTCCTCTTTTACTCTCTCAGAGAGTTCATTCCATCTTTTGCCTTCATCATTACCCCTATCTGAGCAACTATATTTCCAGTCCTGACCATATTTCATATTGTCCAGAGACCATTATCATTTGGATGTTTCCTTTCACTCAAACACAACACACCCAGAACTAGTAAGCAGTGAGCAGTCTTCACCTTTCATCTTGCTGAAATTATACCTGTCCCCACCAGGTAGAGGAGCAGTGTTACCCAGCCAGTGCTCCTGTTGCTGTGTGCTTGGTTCCAGGTCAGGTTCCCTTTTGCCCCATAGCCTCTCTTGTGGGGCTTAGGGATTGCACCCCTCCCACCCCCCACTCCCAAACACCTTCCTTCTTAGATGCTGCTTCACAGCACTAGAGCTGGCTATTACCAGCAGCCCGTGAAAATGGAAGAGTCAGCTCTCAGAGTCCTCCAACTTCTAATTTAATGAAACATCTCACACACCTTTTAGGTTTTACAATAGGAAAATCATTCTAAATTTTATTTTAAATGGGAGAATCACAGAGTTTCAAAAAGTAAAATCCCTGGTGTTCACTGGAGTTTAATTAGAGGTAGACCTGGTCTTATTTAGATGTATTGGTCTCTGCAACATTTTTGTTCTAGGTAACCATTGCCTTCAATAAATAAATATTCTTTTGGAGGGGATCTCTCTCTCTCTCTCTCTCTCTCTCTCTCTCTCTCTCCCTATTTTATGGAAAGATTATAGAAAAGATTTAAATTAGTACTAAAATCTACTGCTCAAGTTTTTTTTCCTCTGCATACATTTTTGTTCTAGAAGAAAATTGAGCAAAATTTACCAAGACAATTTGACCCAGCAATTCCACTTCAATGAGATTCTTCTAAGGAAAGAACAAGGGTTGTTCTAAAACATTTATGTCCAAGGTATTCATTTCAAAATTACCTGTAATCATTACAAATGGAAACAACTTACATCTAAAATTAGAGAAATGGGTAAGTAAATAATTGTGGCCATGCAATATAATGCATCCATTAAAAATGTTACTTTGAAAACTATTATACTTCGTGACATGGAAAATACCCATGACATGATGTTAAAGGAGCAAAACAAAAAACAAAAACAAAAAAGCAGACATTGACATTGCTTTTATTATGATCCAAAATTTATCCTTAAAAGTATGAGTGGCTGTATGTGGCATAAATAACACAGAAAAAGTAAATACAAGCTAGCATTCCAAGATTTTAACTGGTTAACTGTCAGAAGTGGGATTGTAGATGATTTTTACATTTTCTCTACAATTTTATGTATTTTCCAAATGTTCTTCTAGGAAAATGTATTATTTTATTCACTCATTCATTTATTCAATTAACATGTAGTGGCTGTTAGATGCCAAGCACTTGGCTTTATGCGGAGGAGATAAAGTAAACAAGACAGAACAGACATGTTCCTTGCTCTGCTCAGAGTTTATAATCCTTTAAAATTAGGAGGAAACATTTTTTAAAAATTCATTTGGTTTGACCCAGTAATTCTACTTCTGGAAATCTACCCTAAGAAAATAATAAAGAACACAAACAAAATTATCATACAGAAATGTTTATTAGCATATCAATCATAATAGCAAAAAAATAAAATAAAATTAAATCTAGAAATCACCAAAATACCCAACAGTAGAGGGATGCTTAAAGTAATAATGGCACATTTATATAATGGAATAATAGGAAGCCATTAAGATTATGTTACTGAAGACTTTTTAATAACATGGGAAAATGTTATTAATGTTTTCCATTCACATCAATGGAAAAAAATAAGCTACAAAATTATGTAGAATCTGACTTCAACTATGTAGTGTAATAGTCATGAGAGAAATTCAAATGTTAACAGGTGTTATTTTTGCACAGGGAAGTGATGGTTGATTTGTATTTTTGTGTCTACGTTCTTCATACTGCCCAAATTTTCTACAATGAACAAGGTTTAATGTTATCATCTGGAAAACCATGTTGATTTCATTTTTTAAGGCTTGACTCAAAGGTTACCTGTTAAAAGTTCAAAGAACACACAAAAAGATAGCTTAACACTGTTTCAAAGCCTGCACTGCCTTGGTGGAGAAAGGAGAGAGATCATTCATATGGAGAGAGCATAAAGCCCCTTCCTTACCAGAACATTCTTGGGAGAGAACGGATGACCACAAATGCAGGGGGAGCTACATTCTTCAGACGGTCTGAGGGGATTAATCCACTGTGTGCTCATGAGCTGAGCAAGGAAAAATAGAAGGAGCGGGTGGACTAGGAGACACAGCCTTGACACGGTATCCCTAACTCTACCTTGAGCTTGAACCTTGAGCATGACGTTGGTAATCTCCCTGGGCTGTTCTGTACATTAGAGACATGGGGACATTTCTCGCTGCTGTCATTTCCCTCAGCTTTGGCACCAGAGATCCTCTGACCTCATTGAGCAGGGAACACACAGGGTCAGGGTCCTGCCTGTTGACTGCCTAGAGAAAAACAGTGGAGCATGAGAAGCCAGAGGCAAGGCAGCTGAAACCTGGTTCCTTGTTCAATCCACTGTGAAGACTTTGACCCTGACTCCTGCCCTTAACCTTCTAAATTCAAAGGGAAAGAGCAGGGCCGTGGAACATGTCACTTCTGTGTAAGCCAAAGAGAAACAGCCATGGGACTCATGCTGACTGACAGGACTCCTGAGCTCAAGCAAGGCCCAATGAAGTACAAATAACAACTTTCCCTCTAATGTAGGCATCATCAAGAGAGCATGTGTCAGACACCAGTTTTCATCGTGCCTATATTTGGTTATATATCACACTACATGGTTTCTAAGTTTAAGGGGGCTGCTGTGAGGTTAAAGGAACAAGTCAGCGCAGAAAGATTTACAAGAGTGCCTCATTCAGCAAACTGAATATCTGAAAACTAGAGTAACATGAAAGATACATTTACAAAGAATTCATTTCACTACTACTTTGAATAATTGGTTTGCCTTCCACATTTAAAATATAATTGATTCACCAGAACTTGTCTTACACACAACATACCAAACACATAAGAGTTGCATAAAGGGAAGTGAACATGGGAGTTAAAATTCAGCATGTGGACACCACAGCAAAGGAAACATAGCTTTCCCTGCTCTTACAAGTGTTCATTCACTATAGAAGCTGAAAAAGACCAAAAAACAAAACAAAACAAAACAAAACAAAACAATTGCAAATTGTCAACAACCTTTATGTAAAAAGGTTTAGTTTGGGAAAAATTTTTTTGAAGTTTTTCTCCTAGCTCCTTCTTTGGATTTCTCACATTCATTTATCTCAGCAAGGCCATCAAAGAACCCTTTTTAAAATCACAGTGGCAGGTATTTCAAACATATCTCCACATCCCCGGTAAACATTTACCACTTATGCACCTATAGACATACACATGGCAGAGCTAGGACACCCACAAAAAGTCAATACAGATAGAGCTGTGCTCTTATAATTTTCTGCCACGCCACCTGAGGGCCCATTCATTCCAGAGCACTAGCCCCAGTGTTTGAAAATGCCAACCTTTTCACTTTCAATCAGCCTTGCAAACCCTAACCTGTTGGTGGCAGGAAAGAAAGAGCTCTCAGTTGCCTTTGCCAACCATGTTTCTCTGTGGCTACAGACAGGCTAAAAACATTGACCTCACATTACAAGAGAAATTTAGAAAAACTCCTGGGTAAACTCCCTAGCTATGGAGTTCCTCAATGACAGCATAGCTGCCTCTCATTCCTGAATGAGAACTCCTAGCAGGGTGGCAGGAGCTGAATTAGAATTCTGAGTATTTATGATTCTAATGAAATGCTCTTCACATCCAAATAATATTGGAAAGTTGAGGTGGGAGCAGGATGCCTCTGAATCTTCAGGGAAAAGTAAAAAATGAGAAATTTTGGCCAGGTGTACTTAAAACTGGAAGGCACCAAGAGGCTGCCCAAGAAAAGCAAGCATGCAGGGGTTTCCAAGGCCCAAGGCAGGGGCGGGCCCCTTGGCCAAGCCCTGAGTATCCCCTTCAGGCTTTTGGGACAAGGGAGAGAAGGAATATATAGAAAGAAGCAAAGCAGGGGTTGAAAGGAAAGTGTGTGAGAGATGAGTGGAGGAGGGATGAAGATAAGAGGGTTAAATGAAGAAAAAAAGGAGGCATGTGAAGAAAGGGAGATTGGTGATGGGAGGAAAAGGGGAGATAAGGAAAGAGAAAATAGAATAGAAAAGGGTGATTAAGACAAAGTCCCCCATCAACAACTGGCTGTCAGTAAAAATCCCAGGGTACAGGTGACCACCCTCCACCTGGAATCAGGCAGAACCCAACCCTGCTTCTCCATAGCAAAGCCATCATCCTCTGTGGACGCCTTCTCCACTTTCTACAAAGGGCAAGCTCACCTATCCAAGGCCACGGCTGTCATGGAGTAGATGCTGGCGAAGACCGAAGCGACGGGGAAGAAGTTGTGGAACTTGCAGTAGAACAGGCCATAGTACCACTCGTTGTGGATAGCGTAGGTGAAGTTCACCACTGTGTTGAAGGCAGCCATGGAGGCCTCGGCGAAGGCCAAGTTCACCAGGAAATAGTTGGTGACTGTCCTCATTCTCTTGTGGGCCAAGATGATCCACATTACCACCACGTTGCCCACCACGGCGGTCACCACGATGATTATGTAGGCAGCTGCCCAAAGGACAATTTGCCAGGCTGGCTGCACAAACTGGTGTGTCCCCGAGGTATTGGTGGAGATGTTTGGGAAGACGTCTGACTCGACAGGGAGGACGTTATCCATTTCTCGGCTAAGTGGCTAAGCTGTTCTCCCTGTACACGCACCCACGTTGCAGCAGGGTCCCGAGGCCAGCGCCTGGGGTCAGGGTACTGCTTCACCAAGACAGGAGGGCTTGCAGGCTTTCTGGCAGAACTCTTTCCTCGCAAGTAGGAGACTTGGCGCTAGGAAGATGAATGCTTTTGATGTGCTGTCTGCTCTCGTGGCTCTGAATTCCCCCACTTTCAAGCTTCAGGAAACATTTGGAGACAGCGTCTCTCCTGCGTTGGACTGAAAAAGGGAAAGAAATTCCGTGGATCACTGTTCCAGGAAGCAGGAGACCCCTGCCTTCCTACACCTGCTGCTGCTTGTAACGCCAATCCCCCTACCCACAGCGGGGAAGGCAAAACTCTGCTGCGTGAGGACTTGGGAGCCAAGGGGGGTGCTCGTCACAACGCGACCTGTAAAAGTTCAGAGTCCAAGGCCGAGATTCTGGGTCCCCGTGTCAGGCTGAAAAATTTTCCTTTGCTTTCGCCGCCGCCGCCGCCGCCACTGCCTGCAGCTTCGCAGGCGCCTCTTGGCTTGGGTCCTGCACCGCTTGTGAGTTAGCTGAACCTCGGCAGACTGAGCGCGACGTTTTTTTATAACCCGCTGCAGAGACGTCACCGGGAAGGGGCAGTACCTGGGCTGCGTACTCGCCAGTCCGGGTGCGCAGCGCGGCAGCTGCACCAGCTGTTGGCAACTGTCTCACTCCAGCGTCGCAGCCACCACGCCTTTGGCAGCTACCTGCTATGGGAGTCCGCAAGTCCGGCGTCCCACGCACTCCGCCAGGGGACGCTAGGTGGCCTCGGAGTAATTGCGCCAGCTGGGGTCTGCAGCTGGAACCACAGATGCACCAAAGGGAAAGGAAGGATTTGCGAAATTGCTGTAGTGATGGGCACTCAACTTCCAGGGAGGGCTGCCCTGAGCGCTGCGGCAGTTCTGCAGAGGCGCCTGCCTGTGGCTGTGGGAATTGGGCAAGTGTGGGGGGCGGTATGCCCGCGCTGCGCTCTGGGCAGCGCTCTAGTCCGCGCTCCAGCTCGAGTGCATCTCGGGCTTGTTCTGGAGGCTACAGAGAAGTGAGAGGCGATTACGCTCGGTTCCAGGTGTCCGGAAAGCAACTTTGCCGAGGTCGTGTTTAGGATACACCCCTAAAATACCTAGTTTCTTTCCCTGGCGTGCCGATTTCCCTGGGAAGCAGGGATAGGCTCTAAGCTTTGGGGACATCTACCCCTCCACTCTGGCGGCTTGGCCCTTGGCTCCATGAAAAGCTCCAGCTGAGCTCTCCAGATGAGACCCCTGTGCAGACGAAGCTTGGTGAGCTCAGGGGTCACCCATAAGCAGTGTGCCGCCCAGACGCGCGGCTCAGGGCTTTCTCTGCCAGTATTCACTGCATTCGTCGCCTGGGGACCTGGCAGCCTCTGTCTCCGCGCCTCCCCGGCTTGTGGGCCAAAGCGGGGACCTGGGTGGCGTTGGGGGCTCTTCCGCCCAGGTTTGCATAAGGACTGCAAAGGGCTCGCTTTTTCTCCGCCACAACATCCTCATTACCCCTCCCTGGCGGGCTTCGAAGCCTGATCTCCCAGTCCAAGGCCATATCAAACAGCCGAGCTGGTACCGGGCACTGGGAGGAGGTGGGAAGGGCTCGCCAGTCGCTGCAAACCGGTTTTGGAAAAGCCGAGATGGGCTGAGGTTCGGAGCGCGTTCCAGCCAGACTGCCAACGAGATGCGGTTCCGTGAGGACTCGAACCTGCACACTGTTTCTGGGGGCCATCTACCCTTTGCCCACGACCTTACCAGGCTTCACTGAGGGGACTCGGAACTGTGGAACGCCGGCCCGCATGTGTAGCACCGGGGGCTCGGGTCGGCGCAAGCACTCACTCTCCCGGAGCGGCGTTTACGCACTAGTCCCGCTTGCTTGCACGCTTGCTTCTCCCGCTAGCGCGCAAAGTGTGTCGTGGGAAGCGCTTCAAGGTTTAGAAATTTATTGCACCGATTTATGCCTGGCTAAAATCGGATCTTCTCTCGGGGGTGGGAAATGTGCTAGTTCACTCCGTTTTTGTTGAAGCCTGGAATTTCAGCGTTTATATGAACGGCACCTTGCACTGCCCGGCCCTCCAGGCACCCCTAACCCTGAGTAGAAAACTCCAGTGATGCCTTGAAGAGAACAGCGCCCCCTTATTGGCGGGGGGCAGGCAGCGAAGGGATCGCCTTCTCTACCACCCCGGACCTCTCATTGCTCCTTCCACCACCTCGCAGAGCTGAGGGAGAGTGTGTGCGTGTCCACCGTTAATGTTTCCTCCCTAGATGTATATAAAGCTGTCTCTCTTTTTGTTTCTTTTCAGGGCCGGCAGGCTGACATTCTCTAAAGGAACTTTGCTCAGTGCTTAAGGGACTGGAGTGGGGAGTGGGGAAAGATGTGTGTGTGTGTGTGTCTGTGGAACTAAGCTAAAAAAAATAAGGATTTATCCATGTATCCTTCATTAGTAGAACAAGTCGATGTCTTGAGCCAGGCACTGTGCTGGAGATACAGCCATCAAACACAGTCTAGCGAGGGAGAAAGAGACAATTACACAAACTGGCAGTATTACGATGAGCAAAGGTACTAGGCTCTGCATGAGTGGAGAAGATGGGGGACCGTAACCTTGACAATGAGGGGAGTCAGGGAGGAGGGTAGAAAATCATATCAGTGGAGAAGCCTGGAGAATGTGTTGAGGATGAGAAAAAGCCAAAGGTGAAATGGAAGAGAATATTCCAGAGAGACGTTTTATGTCAAACCATGTCACTTTGCTTAACTGTCCAGGAGGACTGCCCAGCTCACTTAGAAGCACACCTACATTCCTTACTCTGACCTTTAAGAATCTTCATTTCTTGCCCTGACATGTGGATGAGGCTAGCCTGGGCGACTCTCTCTCCTGCTCCTGGTTCTTCATAGCAGGTAACCATGTCCTACTTAATTTCTGACACACACACACACACAGACACACACACACACACACACACTCACACAGCATATGCGTATTTATGATGGGTTCACATTTAAAAGAAGGCCTCAGCCATACAGTAGCAGAAGGTATCCTTGGTTTGCACACATGCTGGGAGGAGGGACCTTCTCTAGCATTGCCCCTTCTATAGAGACTTTCTTCCCCATATAAGGGATAACTTTGCACAAATGTATAGATAAGATACTAAAGGTAGGCTTATTCCCTCCAAGATGTGATATTTTTTTCTCTTATTCTTTTTTCTTCAACTCTCCTTTCTACTGAACTCCCTCCTTGACACACAACACAGGCCCAGCAGTCTCACAGAAAATCTGTTGACAGCCTAGTATAAATCCTTCCATATTTGTCTAGGTTCTTTAATACTATATAAAAGAAATACAACCACACGCAATACCCATATATGTAAGTGTATACAAATATAAGACTTTTACTGTTGTCTGAATTTTGTTTTCTCAATCAAAATATTGTCAGAGTCAACAAATACAGATTTAACTCATTCTTTTCAATGGCTAAATATTATTCTTATGTTATGGATGCACCATAATTTATACGCTTCTTTCCCTAATCTTGAAAATTCACTTTGCTTCCAGTTTTTGCTCCTGAAGACAATGCTATAATATACATTTTTACATAGTCATATGTCTCCACAATCATGTTTTATTTCTATGGGATAGATTTTAAGTGGAATTGCTAGATAATGGATTATATTTATATTCAAATGCACGTGTGTGTGTATTGTATATTCCTATTTCTGTTTAATGTTGTCAGATTTCCTTCCAAAAGTGTGATAAACTGTTATAGTTCACTAGCAATTAAATTACCCTTGTTCCCACATCCACTCCAGTAATAAGCATTAAAGGTCTTTTTAGTTTTGTCAGTCTCAAGTATGTAAAATATGATAACATTGCTAATACATAATGTTTATTATCCTGACTACTAGAGAATTTGAACCTGTTAAAAGATTTTTTGGCTACGTGGATTGTCCTCTCTATAAATCTCCTATTTACATCTCTTATCCCTTTTTCTGTTGGATATCTTTCCACTCATTTTTTTTCATAAGTGTTCTTTGTATATTACAGGTGCAAACACTTTGCCCATCATGAATATTTCAAATACTTTTTCTAATGTAAAAACTTAAACAATTTTAATGTAGTTTGCATTTGCTTTAACAGTATTGAGTTTTGATACCATTTTGGTTTTAAAAAGTCTCCCCAAAGCCTGCCTTTTTTCACATAGTCGCCTAGATTTTCTTGGCAGCTTTTTATTGTTTCATTTTTTTACATTAGGTCTTTACTTCACCTGGAGCTTGTTATTTTATATTATGTAAAATATTTACTTTTACTTTTTTTTTTTAAAGATGTTTTATTGGGGAATTGGGGGAAGGAGAACAGACAAGTTGCTGTCCCTTTTTTTTGGTTCTTCAGTCTAGTTGTGGAGGACGTTGCTTCACTGGCCCAAGTTGGCACCATCATTGCACTGAGGCAGATCAGTCGCCGGCTTCTGGA